GATATAATCACAATCACAAGAACTGGAAGTAACTGGATAAATGCAGAATACGTAGTCTGAAAAAGAAAAAATATCTGGTGTAAGTGTTCTTCATCAATATAAAGCTTATAGGAAATAGGATTGTTTTCCCAAAGAAAATACATAATACCAGTTTGCTGAGAGGTACCGAACAACTCTTTGTTCTTTCTGCTGAGAAAGCTAAAGGAGGCCCACCCACAATCTGATTGACACACAGTAATTCTCCTGCATTCCCCTTTTCTAAGACCAGTGAAGTAGACACCTCTGGGTGGGTCTGCCCAGACTGACTCCCATGGGGCCATGTTAGTATTGCCCAATACTGTATAACTTTGTTGCTTCGGCCACAGCTGAACAGACTAGGGGACAACTAACTCTAGCAGGGATAATCACATTCTCCCCACTCCTAGGAATTTGGGATTGTGATTCATCATCATTTACTGCTAGGCAGTCACTCAAATGAAGGACACATACTCTTAGGCACTGGGGTCTGGCTGTTTACAAGGGTAAGTAGAACAAGCAAGGCTGATTAGAGAGAACACAGCAGATGAAAAAGGGTGGGGAAACTGGAGACAATCTGGCCTCAACTAGTCATGGAGCGCAGTTGTGTGGGTGCCCGGCAGCACACATTCCTGGTTCCCATCTGTCGTGAGGTTGAGCTGTGCTTCTTACCCTTGAGCTTCATGATACCCCTTTGATCCATTACCTTAAACCCCCTTTAGTTTTGAATATTTTGAAGGTTAAAGATTTTATTTATTTACTTTTAGAGAGGGGAAGGGAAGGAGAAAGAGGGAGAGAAACATCAATCAGTTGCCTCTTGCACAAGCCCCAACTGGGGACCAAGCCCACAACCCAGGCATGTGCCCTGACAAGGAATCAACCTGCAACCTTTTGCTTTGTGGGACGACACCCAGCCAACTGAGCCACACCGGCCAGGGTGAAGGGGGTTCTTATTTTCTGCAGTCAAGAATACCTTGGTCAAGGTACCCCAAAGGGGAAATGATTTCCTGGGATAGCCACTAAAGAATGGGTGAGGAAGGGGATTACCCTTCTGGTCTATCTGGGCCAACTATCCAGGTCTTCTTACCACAGCTCCTGCCTTCCTAAAGCTCATTTCAGTAACAAACTTCAGTTTGAACTTCTTTTTTTTTAAAGATTTTATTTATTTATTTTTAGAGAGGGAAGGGAGAGAGAGAGAGAGAAACATCAATGTGCAGTTGCTGGGGGTCATGGCCTGCAACCCAGGCATGTGCCCTGACTGGGAATCGAACCTGCGATGCTTTGGTTCACAGCCCGTGCTCAATCCACTGAACTATGCCAGCCAGGGCTCAGTTTGAACTTCTAACACCAGATCATCTACCATAAAGGCCAGCTTAGTACAAGTGTTTATGAGCAGCATTTCACCTGTCCTCCCTACGTACCTGAGGTTTATCTTCTTCCTCCTCCTTCCGTGTCTGCATCCTCTCATGTCGGTGCCGCCGGTGGTAATAGTGGGCATCATCTGTCACATTGGAAAACATATGAATATTTCCTGAAAAAGAAAGAAAAACCCTTAGTATGGGATATGGTAAACTCTCCTTCCTTGCCTTTCCCAAGTTTCTTCCTCCAAATTAGGTTCTCTGAAGGCAGAATATTGTCCCATCTCACCCAGCAGAAAAATAAGACAATAGGTAAACCAAGTGAACTACCTGGAGATGGAATGTACTTAGCTCCCTGCCTTTGTTTAAATAGTCCTTTGTAACCAGTGAGTTCGAGAACTGTAAAAGCAATTAAAGAAAGAGCATTTGGGCCCTGAGTCCTGTCTGACATCCTATGTTTGCTTCCTTGCCCAATATCAGAATCTTTAGCAGCAACACATGAAATTCAACTTACTTCCTGGGCATTTAATTATCCCAATTTCCAACTTGCTGAGGGTGCTTTTCTAACTTTTATCTTTCTATAGCTGTTATTTTGCAATAATAATAATAATAGGCATTTTGCTACTAATTTATAAAGAACTTAAAAATATCTACTCCTCACAGCAGCCCTGTGAGGTAGGTATTATTAACCCCATTTTTCAGGTAAAGAAACAGAATAAAAGAGACTAAGTTATTTGGTTAGAATCACGCAGAGTTGGAGGCTGGAGAGTTGCCTCAAATGCAAGTTCACCTGATTCCAAATTCTTGCTGTTTTCACCATACTCTTTTTTTTTTTTTTTATGACAATTCTGGGATACTAACCTGTAGGAAAGTGTCCTCCAAAGAAGACATTGAATAGCTCTTCCGGAGTGATGTCAGCTTCAAAGTCCCTGTAATAATCATAAGGTCTGGCTCGAGGGGCAGTGAAAGTCACCTGTTCATCTCCATATTCATCATAGCGGAGTCTCTTGTCAGGATTGCTAAGCACAGCAAAGGCATTTCCTATTGCTGCAAACAAACAGAAAAGCACATGAATACATAGTCTTGGCTGTAGCTGAAGGTGATCACAGTAGCAGCAATGAAGAGCCTGGAGTTGACTGGTGCTGGGCAGCTTCACAGGGACCTAGAGAGGTGCTTGGGCTTAGAAAATTCACCAAAGTGCTTGCCCTTGAAATTTTGCATGATCTAGTTAGAAAAGCCAGAAACAACACTGGACTCCAGATGAACTAAGAACTACTGTTTTCATTCATAAAAATGTGTTCTTATTTCACTTGAGAGCAATAGTTTATGGTTGGGAATAGTTCATACATTAAGTATTGGTGTTCTAATTTGAAGTTTAGAAACAATTTTCTGAAGAAAATAATCAGTAAAATTATTGTTTGGCTAGAAGCAAAGTCCTTACTCACCACAATCTTTTTCAGCTTCCTTTAGAAAATGGTCTTTAGAACTCTGGCTGGTGTGGCTCAGTAGAGTGAGTGCCTGCCTGTGAACCAAAGTGTCACCAGTTCAATTCCCAGTCAGGGCACATGCCTGGGTTGCAGGCCAGGTCCCCAGGAGGGGGAGCATGAGAGGCAACCATACACTGATGTTTCTCTCCCTTTCTTTCTCCCTCCCTTTCCCTCTTTCTAACAATAAATAAATAAAATCTTAAAAAAAGAAAGTGGTCTTTAGAAATCAAGAAATGTATCTCTAATGTCTCAATGAAAGATCAAAGACTGAATAGATTACAAATGTCATCATCACCTCTCCTCCCTATTTGTCCAATTTATTTCAAACATATAATCCATACCTCCAATTAAATACCCCCCGAATCTTTTAAAGGTATCCCCACCCCTATCTCTGATTCAGTCAACACTATCAGAAACACAGAAAGAGCAGTACTTTATGATTCTTTTACCAGGGGAATTGTTGAATGTTTACAGCAATAAAACAGCTAAGCAAACAAACAAACAAACAAAAACCCTAAATAGAGTTGCTTAAACATTCACATCCCTTGAAATCGGGCAAATACATGAAAGCAATGGTATCAGTCTGTGAGAATCTGTACATGAGGAATGTGGGTTTCCTGTGTGTTTCTCTGTAGAAACCGTGGGGAGAACCAGATTCACCATGGCACATCATCTGAGGTAAATGGTGACTTTTTAAAATTTCTCAGATCCATCATTTTTTTACTTTTGAAAATTTCAAATCTATAGACGAGTTGAAAAAATAGTACAATAAACACATGTATACCCTTTACCTTGACTCACCAATTGTTAGCATTTTGACACTTTGCTTCCTTCAATTCTCTATACATACATAAATACATATAATACATTTTTATTTCTTTTGCTGAGCCATTTGAAAGTAGGCTGCAAATATTATAACACTTTACCCCTAATATTTCAACATGCATCTCCTAAAAAGAAAGACATTCTTCACCCTGACTGGTGTGGCACAGTGGATTGAGTGCCAGCCTGTGAGCCCAAAGGTTGCTGGTTCGATTCCCAGTCAGGGCACATGCCTGGGTTGTGGGCCAGGTCCCTGGACACATGCAACAGGCAACCAATTCAACGTTTCTCTCACACAACCATGTTTCCCTCTCTGTCTTCCTCCCTTCCCTTCTCTCTAAAAAAGAATAAATAAAAGACCTTCCCCTACACCATTATGACAGCTAAGAAAATGAACATTAATTATCACCCAGTCAAGGTTTACCATATATTTTGCACTTGGTTTCATATCTCTTTAGTTTCTTTTATTTATTTACTTATTTATAAGATCTTATTTATTTATTTTTAGAGAGAGTGGTAGGGAGAAAAACATCAATGTGAAAGAGAAACATTGATCAGTTGCCTCTCACATACCTTCAACTGAAGACCTAGCTGGCAATCCAGGCATGTGCCCTGACTGGGAATCAAACCAGCAACCTTTTGGTTCACAGGCTAGTGCTCAATCCACTGAGCCACACCAGCCAGCACTCTTTAGTTTCTTTTAATCTAGACTAGTCTCTCCAACTTTTTTGCTTTATGTTATATTAAATTTTTTGAAGAGTAGTTCAGTGTTTTTTTTGTAGAATGTCCCATATTTTGATTGTTTCTTCAATATTATATTCAGGTCAAACATTTTGGCAACATACTATACCACATTATGTAAGACTGTTTCAGTATTGGTGATGTTGGATCATTTGATTAAAGTGATGACAGCTAGGCATCTCCATTATAAAGGAATCTCCCCGTTTGTAATCAATAAGTATTCTGTGGGGTGATACTTGACACCATGTAAATATCCTATTCAACAACCAACTATCACACAATGGTTTTAGCATTGATAATTGTTGTCTGAATCAATGACTTCACTGAGGGTGAAGCTCTTAAGTAAGATTTTATTTGTGTGTTGGGTCCAAAATATTTTTAAAAATTTAATCCTTACCCAAGGATATGTATACTGATTTTAGAGAGAGAGGGAGGGGGAGAGCGAGAGCGAGAGCGAGAGAGATGTATGTGAGAGAAACACCTCTGATCAGTTGCTTCCCATATGCGCCCCAACCATGGATTGAACCTGCATCCTAGGTATGTGCCCTGACTGGTAATCACACCTGCAGACTTTTGGTGGACCAGATGGATGCTCCAACCAACCAAGGCACCTGGCTAGGACTCGAAATATTTTTTAAGAATATATTTCTGGCTCTTTCTGGCTCCGGCTGCCGCTGCGAGAGGAACTCCAGCCATGTCTGCCCACTTGCAATGGATGGACATCCGGAACTGCTCCAGTTTCCTGATCAAGAGGAACAAGCAGACGTACAGCACCGAACCCAATAATCTTAAGGCCCGCAACTCCTTTCACTACAAGGGGCTGATTCACCGCAAGACGGTGGGTGTGAAGCCAGCGGCCGATGGCAAAGGTGTGGTGGTCGTCATGAAGCGGAGATCTGGCCAACGAAAGCTGGCCACCTCCTACGTGCGGACCACCATCAACGAGAACGCCCTGGCCACCCTGAGCAGCATCCGGCACATGATCCACAAGAACAAGTACCGCCCAGGCCTGTGCATTGCGGCCATCCGCAGGGCCAGCGCCATCTCGCACAGCCAGAAGCCCGTGATGGTGAAGAAGTGGGCCCGCTCCACCAAGAGCTCCTGAGCACCCCCTCCCCCCAGAGCAATAAAGGTATCAGCTAGCTTTCTTCGGGGGAAAAAAAAAAGATATTTCTGAAAGTACCATGGAAATCAATGGAAAAAAGATTAGACAGGTTTCTCACATGAACATGTTGGGTGCTAACAGAAGCTTAATGAACGAAGGGTCCTATGGTTGGAGAAGTTCAGGAATGCTGTCTAGGTCCTGCTTGCAAGCGGCCAATAGCCTGTAAGTTCCACAAAAGGAATCACGTTTGTTTTACTCACCGTGGCTCCTGGCACATAGATCTTCCACAAATATTTGCTGAACCAATAGGTAAGTGGTCCCAAAAGGTATTATAGAGAAACAAAATATTTTTTTCCAAAAGAAATTAAGGTGATGTGAATGAAGACAGGAGGGAGCTAGGCTGATAATCACTATTTAAGAGGTGTGGCAAGGAAAAAATCCCTGCTATGGCTTCATAAAACAGTTACAGGAGAGGCTGAAAACAGGGTGTTATGACTGATCATCACAAGAAGGGCAGAATTAAGCATTAGTTCAGGGTCAGACCTTTGAAAGCATCTGTTGCTCCAGGAGCACAGTTCTTGTCAGGGTGAAATTTCAGGGCGAGTTTTCGGTAAGCTTTCTTAAGCTCTTCATCACTGGCATCTCGAGAAACTCCCAGAATTTCATAGTAATTTCTGCATTTCTTGATCCTAAAAACACACATCAGAAACATAAATGTCTACAAAGGCCCCTTTTATACAATTAAATACAAAGTAGTATACTGATCTTCCTTCTAGTTTGTGAGCCCCAAAACAAACCTAGAAGAAAATTGCCAAACACATGAATGAAACATTTAAAGTCATTAACAATGTCCTTCCACTGAGAGTGTAATGTCTTTCAAAGTAGTTTCACATCTGATATTTCACTCTTTCTATGTTCCTACAGGTAGCAGACAGAGCAAGTGTGCTAACCCACCCTGTCAAGGTGCAGGCTCAGGTCCTGAGAGTTGAACCACAGCCAGCAGAGCTAGAAGGAATACCTGTCCACTCTATTTGTTTATTATTTTCCCTTTCTCTCTCTTTATTCCTAAAGCCATCTTTTTAAACTTTGTTTTTAAAGTTAATCTGAGTATATACCCATGATAGGAGAAAAATATCCAACAGTACTAAACTGTATGCAGTAAAAACATTTTCCACTCCCCCATTCCCTGTCCCCAAGGCCCCCACTCCAAGGGCAGCCGCTGTTAGAAGTTTTCCTCGAACCCTATGCCCAGAGTGAGAGTACATGTACAGGGGCACTTCTATTTTTTTTTTTTTAACCTAATGGCAGGTCTTAGGTACTTATAATCACCTTTCTACATCTTGTTTTTTTTTTTAATTAACAATTTATCTTAGAGATTGATCCATAACAAATAGAGATGAGAAGTATAGGAAAAGAGTTTAGAGTGGCAGTTCTGAATCTTCTGATCTCAGAAATATTTTATACTCTTAAAAGCTTTTGTTCATGTGAGTTATATCTATCAATATTTACCATAGTGGAATAAAAACAAAAAAATTTAAAACACAGCATGATGACATAATTACATATCAGGTAGCTTTTCAAAAACTCCACTGTACAATCCTGAAAGCATAATAATGAAAAAGCAAATAATGTGCTTGTATTACTATGAAAAGTTTAAAACTTGCAGATCCCCCAAAAGGGTCTTGGAGTTCCCAAACCACACTCTGAGAACTGCTGAACTAGAGCATGAACTGGGGAGTCAAAATGCCTTGACTGGGATCTGATCTTGCTGTGTAGTTGACCTCTGTGCCTCAGGGTTGTCTTCTGAAGTGGGCTAATAATGACAACTGTTTTCACCGAGTTGTTACTATTAAATGAAGAACTCATCACAGTGCTCGATACTCTTCTGTCTCTCCCTCTCTCCTCTATAAAGTACTTGTTTAATAACAGCTTTATTAAGCTATAATTCACATATTGCAAAGTTCACTCTTAAAATGTACAATTCAGTGGTTTTTAAAGTATATTCAGAGTTGTGCACCCCTCACCACTATCTAGTTCCAGAACATTCTCATCACCCCATAAAGAAACCCAGTACTCATTAATAGTCATCCCTCACTCTCCCACTCCCCAGCCTCTGGCAACCACTACTCTACTTCCTGTCTCTATAAATTTGCCTATTCAGGACATTTTATATATAGGGAATATACAATATGTGGCCTTTTGTGTCTGGCTTTCTTTACTAGCATAATGTTCAAGGTTCATTCATATTGTAGCATGTAATTGTATTTATTCCTTTTTATTACCGAAAAGTATTCATTGTACGGACATTCCCCACTTTGTTCATCCATTCATCAGTTAATGGATTATTCCAGGTTGTTTCCATTTGGGGGGCATTATGAATAATGCTGTATGAACATTCATGTATAGGTTTTTGTGTGGAGATATATTTTTATTTCTCTTGGTATATTCCTAGTAGTGGGTTGCTAGGTCATATTCTATGGTTACTCTTCTGAGGAAATGCCATATTTTCCAAACTGGCTGTACCATTTTATATTCCTGCAAGTAATGTACAAGGGTTCCAATTTCTCCACATTCTCATTAATACTTGTTATTGTCCATCTTTTTTATTATAGCCATCCCAGTGAATACAAGATAATACGGTATCTCATTGTGACTTTGATTTGCATTTTCCTCATGACTAATGATACTGAGCAACTTTTCATGTGCATATTGGCCATTTGTCTGTCTTCTTTGGAGGAATACCTATTCAGATCATTTGCCCATTTTTCTTTTATTATCTTTTAAAGATTTTATATATATTGACTTCCGGCAAGATGGAGGAATAGGTGGACGCACTGTGCCTCCTCGCACAACCAAGATTGGAACAACAATAATTTACAGATAGAATAACACTCGGAACTGATAGAGGATTTATCTGAATGGAAGTCGGACAGCCAAGAAGTTGAAGTAGACCCGTGCATCCAGACTGGTAGGGGACGACGAGCCGGGTGGGTGCGGGGCTGGCGCGGGTCGGCGGCACACGGAGGTTGGGAAGGATTTGCCGCGAAATCATCACGACAGCCATCCAGGGCACAAGAACGCAGCGGGGGTCCCTGAGTGCGCAAGCTGCGGCTGGCGGACCCATTGAGGCAGCGATTGTGGACCAGGGTAGAGCTCGCAGCCCAGGATCCCAGAGAAGGGTCTGAGCCCAGGAGAACGGATCTGCCATCATTGTTCCCTCCCGTCCCGCTCCCGCCCCCGCCCCCACATATAACGTCACAATCTAGCGACTGGGGTGCCCAGCCCCGTGAACACCTAAGGCTCCACCCCCCACCGTAACAAGAGCGACCAGACCAAAAAGGAGAGAGACAGGGAAAGACATAAGATATGTTTCCAACAGAACAGATCAGTCCCCCCAGGACTCATCCTTTTGAGCGACCAAGAAATAGCCAATCTATCAGATGCACAGTTCAAAACACTGGTGATCAGAAAGCTCACGGAATTGGTTGATTCTGGGTGCAATTTAGATGAAAGGATGCAGGTTACCATAAAAGAGATGCAGGAAGATACACGGAGGAGAGCCAATAGAGACAGGAAGGAATCTGAGTCTCAAAACAATACAGTGGACCAGAAGGAAGATAGAATCAACCAAGCAGGAAAGCATGATGAAATAAGAATTCAAAAAATCTAGGAAAAGCTTAAGAGCATCCAGGATACCTTTAAACGTTCCAACATCCGAATTATAGGGGTACCAGAAAGGGAAGGGGAAAAGCAACAAATTGAGCACGTATTTGAACAAATAATAAAGGAGAACTTCCCCAATCTGGCAAAGGGAACAGTCTTCCAAGAAATCCAAGAAGCTCAGAGAGCCCCAAAGAAGTTGGACCCAAGAAGAAACACACCAAGGCACATCATAATTACATTAGCCAAGGTAAAAACGAAGGAGAGAATCCTAGAAGCAGCAAGAGATAAGGGGACAGTCACCTACAAAGGAGTTCCCATCAGACTGTCAGCTGATTTCTCCAAAAAGACCTTACAGGCAAGAAGGGGCTGGAAAGAAATATTCCAAGTCATGAAAGACAAGGACCTACATCCCAGATTGCTCTATCCAGCAAAGCTCTCATTTAGAATGGAAGGGAAGATAAAGTGCTTTTCAGATAAGGTCAAGTTAAAGGAGTTCATCATCACCAAGCCCTTATTTTATGAAATGCTAAAGGGACTTATCTAAGAAAAGAAGATAAAGAAAAAGACATGTATAGTAAAAGGACAGCAAACTCACAATTATTAACAGCCACACCTAAAGCAAAACCAAAAGAAACTAAGTAAACAACTAGAACAGGAACAGAACCACAGAAATGGAGGGCACATGGAGAGCTAGCAGCAGGGGGGTGGGAGGAGGAGAGAGGGGGAAAAGGTATAGAGAATAAGTAGCATAGAATGTAGGTTGAAAATAGTTAGGGGGAGGGCAAGAATAGTACAGGAAATGTAGAAGCTAAAGAACTCACAAGTATGACACATGGACATGAACTAAAGGGGGGGAATGTGGGTGGGAGAGGGGGTACAGGGTGGAGGGGAGAGAAGGGGGGAAATGGGACAACTGTAATAGCATAATCAATAAAATATATTTTTAAAAAAGATTTTATATATATTTTTTAGAGAGATGGGAAGGGAAGGAGAAAAAGAGGAAGAGAAATACCAATGTGCGAAAGATTCATTTGCCTCTTGCATGCCCCAACTGGGGACCTGGCCCACAGCCCAGGCACATGCTTGACTGGGAATTGAACTGGTGACCTTTCAGTTTGCAGGCCGGCACTGAATCCACTGAGCCATACCAGCCAGGGTGTCATTTCCCCATTTTTCAAGTGGACTGTCTATTATTGAGTTGTAAGAGTACTTTGCATGTTCTAGATATAAGTCCCTTATCAGATATATAATTTGAAAATATTTTCTCCTGTACTGTGGGTTGATTTTTCACTTCCTTGATGTTATCTTTTGAAGTACAAAAGTTTTAAATTTTTATA